ATCAATTAATTTGATAATATGTGACCAATAAATAAGCTCTGGCCTATAGTTATATATATGTGATAATTAATTGTATAATTGTGACTTTATTACATTTAATTAATCAACATTTTTAATTAATTAGTTAGTACCTGTTTTTTGCCTTTTTTATACTTAAAACCTGATTTTTGAATTGTCCATACTTAATACATGACTTATGAATTTTCCCATTTTTAACTACACATTCTTTCAAAAACTACTATTCCAAAATATATTTTACCAAAATTTCTCATTATAATGGTTTTCAAACGGGGACTTAAAGTCGCTCGTGCATATCAGATGCTTGGTACTGGGCCCATATGATAAGTAGATTGGGCCAAGATAGTTAAGCTGGTTCTTTAAAAAACGTTCAATTTCCTCGATCCCTCCTTATTACAAGGCTCCTTTGTTCATATTTTGAAAATTAAGCTAATTATTCAATTGGGGGGGGGGGACTTATAATTGTTTAGTCAAACAAGAAATTAGGACCTTAATCATAATTTGAAATTTGACCCAGCAGTTCTTTGAAGAATGGACGTTATAACCCTTCTAGTTGTTCAATTGGCTTTCAAGTTGTACTCAATCATCTTTGAAGTTTTTAAGTAAAAAAAAATATGTATATGGAAAATTTTACTTATACATAATTATTGCACATAATGGTATCCATAATGTGATGTGGCAATCATCTGATTGTTGATATGCAAGTGTGAGATTTGAATTAAAGATTGGATCCAATGCGACGTGTAATTATGGATACCATTATGTAGACAATTATGTACATATAGCACTTCCCTTATTTTCAACCTAAAAAATGATACATTTGTCCATTTATTATTGATAGATAAATAACAGAGAGAGGGGGTAGATAAGAGGGGGTAGATAAGAGATGAAGAGATAGTGAATTACTTGGAAAATAAAAAGCACTCCTCCTAAAGAAAATATTTTCCTTATTTTCTAAGAAAATGTGGCCACGTGATAAAAAATATGAAAATTATTTTATTGTCAATATTTTTCATGGAAAATGTTTAAGGACACAAACCAAATTCTAATAAAAATAAAACTCAAATTCTGTAGACAAATCCAAATAAATTAGGAAATAACAAAACAAATCCAAATAAAACAAAAAAAAATTATAAAAATGATGAAATTGCCTTTAAATAAAGTAAAAGCATAAAAACGTTAAAATAGACCTCCCAAACAATGAAATTTGATCTCAAAAGTTTGATAACGTTAAAAGGAGAAAATGTGCAGAATTGAAAAAATGATTTCGATACAAATTCAAAGACATAAATCTGACACTCGAGCTAAAAGTTATGCACATTTTGATAGATATAAATGCCTAGTCCAGGGAAAGCTACCTAACTAAATTTGTAATAGCCATGAAAGTTATACCTACCACTTTGAAAGCTTGGTGTGCCCTTCCTATTGGTGCAATTATAATCTTTTTATTATTCCACTTAAACTTTTAGATATTTTCTTTATCATTATGGACGGCATGCACATCAATCTGCTGATGATCTGTCCAATAGAATATGATATCCGTCCATCTCAACAATATGACAAATAACTGTTGATTTGTAAGAAATCTTCATTAACAAAAGTACTTTATAAATTTGAGACACTTGAATAGACAAACTCTTCTTAATCCAACCAATATAATAAAGAGCTGGATGTTGTTTCGTTTGATAGATCTAATTGATCCAACAACTTCTTGGTGATCAAATTCTCACAACTGCAATTGTCCATGATCAAACTGCAAATGTCATCATGAACTCAATACTTGGCTTGAAAGATCTATATACAATGAGTCATATCTAACATAATTTGCCTGACTCAATCCATAGATATAGCACTAGCTAGTAAAAGAGGAATCCATCAATCACGCACGATCCAGTAAATAGAGTACCACAGCCGTCTTCTCTTAGAACGCGAAACAACGGTAGAGC